TATCTCCTCAAAAATGCTTGCCTCTCACACAGCAGCACACATGTAATTTCCTGTTCAGTCTGTAATCACACATGGAAACATCAGCAGTGTGAACTACAGATACTCAACTGCAAACAGCATGGTTTTCCTTTTTTTTTTTTTCGGAGAGAATGATGAAGAGAGGTTAATTCTGACATTAAGAAACATGATCAACACTTGTTTCGTAACAGTCCTACAGAATTTGCGAAGGCCATTGACAACTGAAAGAGTATCTCCACAAGAAATGTAACTTTATGCACAGACAAGAAGAATACAGCATGATATGAAAAAGTTTTTAATACTGGTGCAGGAGAGTAAAGTTACTTCAGATACTCCAACAGCTCACTGAATAGCGCTGGCTAAGGTGTAATATAGCAATGACCTCCGACTACTTTAATAGTCTTGAAAAACCCAGTTCACACATGTGCATGAAGATACATACGTGTGCATAAATGCACATGGCATGTAAACACATAAACACAAAGGTGTGTGTGTATATATGTATATATATATATACACACACACATACCTACGTTATCCACCTCCAATATTGCTTTTACAATTATTCTCCTGAAAATAGAAGTCTACAACTGCCATTAAATGGAAATAAACCACAGCAAGGAAGAGCACTTAAGCTCTTTAAATGGGCATGGTCAACCCCCTTAGGCCCAAAATGCCCTTTTTGAATTAACATAGTGGTTTTAATTAAAAACTAGGCAGAGAATCAGTTTGATTTTCAATACAACACTGCATCCGTCCATGGTGAGTGCTAATTTCCGCATTTCTCTCCTCTCTACAATATGCAAGTCCTTGGCTGTTTTAAACTGTCGCCCTGGGGAATCAGAAAGAGTCTATAAGAGGGGCCATGTGCCATTTGGAAAGTATATTAGCAATCAAGAAAAAAGCCATAGTAAATTGAAAGATGGTTAATCAAACCCACTCTGATTCATGAAACAGTTACAGGGGCAGTACTTCCTTACAAGAACAGGGAAAGAAACGTTATACAAAGCTCGTAACAGTAGCCCATAAGCTCTCTGAAATATCATAGCTTGCAAAAAGTTCACGTTACAGCGAATATATAAAAATCAACTTCTATGGCATAAACACTCAAAACTTTGGGGGCTAGGCCCATGTGGGATAATGACTAACATTACTGTCACAATTTCAGCAGGACAAAGAAATCCATTAAAAATTTAAAAGTCCATTCAATTTCAGAACTGAACCTCTTTAAACCAATGAGTAATTATTACGTGAGCACCCTCGAACAGACGACTTGACTATGCACACCTAAATTGCAAGTGACCTATTTATTCATTATAATGAAGGCGCCTCTATGAGAATGCATAAAAGCTTCCACTGCAACAGTCATCTTATCCAAATTTTGAGCTGGGAATCTCAAAATAACTGCTTACCCTACTCCTTGTACTCAACTGCCAATTGAAAGATTAAAGATTATGTTTCCTTTGCCAAAGCTCCTTACTGAATGTCAGCACATGAGGAGTAGATCATTCTTAAATGCTGTGAGTTTTGCCAAATGTATGAAATGTTCTTTTAAATTGAGATCACTAAAATCTGATTTTGCCAGTTAACAGCAATAGCATTTGAATGACATTTTATGTCTCTGGCCCATTAGTCTGATGCGACAATTTTTTTTAAGAAAACTTGCACAACTATAATCAAAACCAAAATAATTTGTTAAAGCACCAGAATTCTACAAAGTAATCATGGCTTCAAAATCTTCTCTGAAAAGAGATAAGTGATGTGCCAAAAATCCAAGGAAAGTAAAAAAGATGGGAAGTACCTCTTCACAGATTCTAGAATTGAACAGTCTTTAAAATACACTCATAGTACTTACTGGAAGTAGAACAATTTATCTGCATCAGAGTTTGAATAGTTCACAGTTAAAATTGTGTTCTATCTCAATTTTAACTATGAACTATCTGAAGTGGCATTTGCCCCTTACTTTAAGAAAAGTGATCAAAGAGAAGGTATGTTCATATTAAAATGGACTACATTGCCTGCAACTTTAACTATAGTTTTATGGCTCACTCAAAGCTGGTAAAATGAATTATTTATGTCTGCATCCATTTTTGTGTACTTTTAAATAGAGCAGCCAGGTAAAATACACACTGGACAAAGGCCTTGAGAGTACCTGCACTAGGAATCACACTTGGCTTCTGGGATGTACCGAAAACATATAGAAAAAGTATCAAAAAGTCCTCAAATTGGGCATTTCCTCCCTGCTCACAACAGGTGGGGTTTGACAGTAAAATCTGATTTCATTTACGCCCACAAAGAGGCACAACTACTCCAAAGCACCAACGCTCAACTTTTTCCTGACAGCTGCAGACAGATTATGGTTCTATTTGGAATTACAAATGCTTCTCCATGTAAACATGCAGTGGTCATCCAATTTATCTTGCACGGGATTTATTTATAGCCAGTATCATAAGCTTAAAATTTACACCATAACTATGTGACGTCAAACTCAACTTGGTCATCCAAACTTGTGCCTGAAGTTGGACACATCTATAGTTTGGTCAATACAAGATAATGCTGCAGTAGCACCAAGATGCTCAGAGCAGGCTACGCCAAACAAGTATTTGCACACCCTCTTGGCTGGGTCCTGTAGGTCCTTTCTGACACAGCTCTAGTGCTCAGTCCATGTAATTTCCTGGTAACTTCAGCTAGAGAATAAAATTTCTGCTCATTCACAACATTCTTTTCAAAGTTTTCTTTCACACTATACTTCAAGTACATTTTTTTTCTGCCTTCTGTTTTCTCTCTTAAGTGTCTGATGAACCTTAAAATCCCAAACTGAATCCAGCAATTCAGATGAGTTTTCCCCAATTCCACCAAGAGCAAAAAAGACAACTTCATTGTCTCCACGCCCACTCCCGCAGAAGCAATCAGGAATTAAGTTCTCCTTCCCACCACAATCATCCCCTTGTTGATTTACTTTACACGTGATCCACCAACGACTCAAAGTCTTTTGCATCCATCTTTAATGGGTTTCATCTTCCTGATTTCAGACCACGTTTCAAGATCCTTCACTTTCTAATAACCGTCATCCAAAGGGCACAGAATTCCCTTAAGTGTAGTATCATTAAAAACAAAAGCGTAATCATTTGGAAGATAAAGATTAATGAAAAAGTGCCGCAACTGGTCCCCAGACAGTTGTTCCAGTTTAATTTATCTGATATTTACGATTTGAAATTCATTTTGCTGTGCCTCCCATTATAGTAATCTTTCATTATATTTCTGTAGTTCACATTAATATAATCAGTATCAGCTTATTGTTCAGAAATCGCTTTGCCAAATTCTACTTCTTGCCCTTGTTATTTCCAGTGCATTTATCAAACCTTTTTTCCTTTTAGCATTCTAACAAAATTTTTCCAGAAAAATAAAATCTTGATTAAAACATTTTATAATTAAAAAGAGACAATTTAAGCCATTTTCAAGGAGGTTTCTTCCTCTTAATGCCTACTCACAGCCACACACCGTACATTCACTTCAACTGTTTGTGCAAGAGCGTGCATTTGTATATGCACATTCACACACATCCCTGTGCCAAATCCTCTCAAATTTGTGATTTCAGTTTCATCAGAAACAAGGGCTGGAAAGAGAATATATACTGTAATTAGGCTGTATTTAAAAGTATTTTCTTACCTTTTTTAAGCCAGCAAATCCTTCCGATTCCAGGAAGAAAAAGGCAAAGGGCATCAACACAAACAAACATAAATTTGAAAAAAGAGAAGCAAGATTCCATAAACCTGCAACAAACAAGAAAAAAGTTTACATTTTAAGCGTCTCAGCTTCAGAAATTAAAGGTATTATATCTTCCTTCCTTACATATAAGAACATAGTATATACATACACAGGCTAACACAAGCCAGGTTTTTATGGATACATAGTGATTTACAAGTCATTGCTGAAAAATACCCATTTCTCCACTTGATCTTCAGACCAAAACTGGATACCAACTCAAACAGCAGCAAACGTCCGATACCTTGGAAGACAGACTGCAAATTCAGGCAGGCTACTTCTACAATATCCCACTGAAGGCTCTCTAGATAACCACTTTAAAAATTTTCAGGGCAAAAGTACTTTACTACTAGCAGTGAACCTCAAAAAATTCAGTTCTGTGTACTCACTCCCTCCCAAATTTGGTCCTCAAGAGAAATTTAGACAAATCACGGATTTTAATCCGAGTGATACACAAATGCCATCATCACCTCCACATTTGAAGATATCATGGTAATAGCAACAGCAGCCTTCCATGATGAGACGAGTGGCTCAGTGGGCAAGAGGAGAGCAGATGTTGTTTATCTCAACTTTAGTAACACTTTCAGCATCATTTCCTATAAATCTCCTCATAGTTTAATTAACGAAATATGGGCTAGACAAGTGGACTCTGATGTGGACTGAAAATTGGCTGAGCTGCCGGGCTCAAAGGGTTGTGACCAACAGTAAAGTCAGGCTGGAAACCAGTCACCAGTGCAACACCCCAGGCGGTGTATGCTGGGTTTAACTTTTTCATCAGTGACCCGGAGGATGAGAGAGAGTGAGTCCTCAGCAAGTTTGCTTAAGAATGAAGATGAGGAGGAGCAGTGCCCTGCCACTCAGATGAACCTCAACAGGCTGGACAAATGGGCAGACAGCACACTGAGGACCAATGGTCCCAAAAGCAGCTTTCTAGAAAGTCTGGTGCGGGACACCAGCCGAACACAAGTCAGCAACGTGCACATGCAGCAAAGGTGGCCAACAGCATCCTGGGCTGTACCCGGCGAGGTGTTGCCAGCAGGTCGAGGGAGGTGATGCTTGCTCCCAGCTCAGCACTGGTGACACACACCCGGAGCGCCGCACCCAGCTGTGGACTCCTCCATACAAGACAGACACGGCCATACTGGGCTGAGGGCAGCAAAGGATCACAAAGATGATTAAAGGATTGGAGCATCTGTCATACAAGGAGAGTCTAAGAAAGCTGGAATTGTTAAGCTTTGAGAAGAGAGGACTTGGGGAGACAATATCAACGTATATAAATACCTGATGAGGGAGGGGGAAGGGAAAAGAGAATCAGACTCTTCACAGGGTTATTCAGCGAATGGAGAAGGGGCAATGAGCATGAATTGAACAAACAGAAAACCTACTTAAACATAAGAGGAAAGAAAAACAACAACAGCAAACAAACTCAAACTTCTTCCACTATGAGAGCAGTCAAACACCGCAACAGGTTGCCTATAGATGTTTTGTAATGGTCATCCTTTAAGATAACCAAAACCCACACTGGCACTGCCTTGAGCAGCCTTCTCTAACTGAGCCTGCTTTGAGTGGCGGAGGTCAGACTAGACTACTTCCAGAGGTCCCTTCCAATCTCAACCATTCTGTGACCTAGGCTAAAAATTATAAATTAAAAAAAAAAATCAACAACTGATCACAACTAGGACATCTGTAAGACACATGTGACATCTGCAGGAAGGGAAAAAGGTTTAGAAAATAACTTGAAGTGACAGCTGATCTCCATTAAGGGTATCTGCTCAAGCAAGATTTTTCTAAGCTGAACACTTTCTGAACAGCCAGTTTCTGGTGCCTAAACACGAATCTGTTATCATCATCCTATCAAAAGTTGTGCTGCATGTAGTGTTTCTTCTTTAATAAAAACAGAAGCTTACTTGCAATTTAGTAGCTAACAGGTTTAACTAGTGTCACATGTTCTGAATCCTGAAAACACAGCTTTTATTTTGTGTTGAGAAACACAGACATAGCCCCCCACCTTCCCCAAAATACACAAATTTCCACAGTTCTGCAGGACTATATTCTATCACCTAGAATTCAAAAAAGAACATCCCCCATGATAAGAAAATTTGAGCTAACAGCTTTGTTTATTTCTTTCTTCTCATGTACAGGCTTGTTCATTTTCTTCTTTGAAAATGTTCATTTTGGAAAGAATAGGGAAGGAAAGAGACATTTACTGTATACCTGGGGACTTCATTACTGAGAGAAATTCCTGTATTTAGTTCCAAATGTAAAATAGCAGTTATCTTCACCTACACACCCTTAAAAATGCTTTCACTGTATATACTTCCCTTTTCCTCCAATAAAATTATTTAAATTTCAAGGAGAAATAAAAACAAGTGAGGAGGAGGGAGGTAAGGGGGCAAGAAATCAAATTCTTCAGCAGCAGGACACCAGAAACCAAAGTTAGTCAAATAAGCTACAGAAAACAAAACAAGAAAATTCCAAAAGATACCTGAAATATAATACTCATTTGCTAAAGAAAACAGACTGCCTAAAGGTGGCTAAACTCCACTTAACAAAGAGGGGGATTTTTCCTTTTGAATTCGCTTAGCCAGGAAGCTCCTGTTACCATTCAAGAAACATTCACACATAGCAACATCAGCAAGAATGTCATTAACAGCCCTTACTAAGGGTACATCAAGCAGTCTGCATCCTTTTTTTCTTTTTTCTTTTTTTTTTTCCCCCCTAGAAAATTAAGAACCAGCGTTAGAATAGAAATGCTATTTGATGGGGGTGGGGATCTTATTCCTACGGTTTTCTCTGAAGACTCCTTTCTGAATACCTGGTTGTTCTAATTTCAGCAGCTCCACTACATGTGTAGCTACAATGTGAAACAGTGCTTAGGAGCCACACAGTATGCAGAGAGGGGAGAGCAGTGCACACTCAAGGTAATTTTTAATAAGTTAAAATCCAGAAATTCACATGTTAGCACCAGAATATTGAACTACAGAGCTACAACGCAGCTGCATATGAAGTTGAGAGGACTAACATAGTGCTGCACTGCTGCTGACAGGACTCTCCTCAAAGGAACATACAGAACCCTCTCTTCTTCCCTTGCCATATTTCTTACCCAAATTCAATAGTTCAGAACTCAAATTAAAACAGAGCCAGAAAGATAATTATTTCCTACTACACTGATAGCATCATAAAATGCACATATCAACATATATAAAACATATAAACATATATAAGATTTAGTCTAGCAGATTTATTTTTTTATTTAACAGGTCAATATAATGTAAAACTTAAACACCTCTCAGTCTTTGGCAAAGAGATTAGACCCTCCTCAATTTTTCGTCTTTCCTATTTGTGGCAGTTTCATTACGTTTTACCCCCACCTGGTGGTTGTAGCCACCAACAGCACAAGAGAACATCCAGCTGTCACAAGTATTTCTGGGTGTCATTAAGAGTGTTTATGCTGGATCCAGGTACGCGCTTTCTGCCTAGTTTCAAAAATTAGAGGCGTATATTTTCTATTTTTCTATATCCACAACTCATGCAACAGTCTATAGTATAAAAAAATGTTACATTTGTAATTGATAAATTTAGCTAAAGTGTTTTAAAGCCATGCAAATTTTCCCATCTGGTTACATTTGCAAAGCAGTAAGTCTCGGCTAGACGGAGTATTACGAATACTTTCTGAACTCGAGTGCTTGTGAGAGCTCTCAAAATTCGCAGGGGTATTTCAGAACCCGCGCTAGCATATGGCAAAATGCTTCGAGAGCCGCGCACGGCTGTGGCGCATTCCCAGCGACCACCACAGGAGGGAGCCCTTCCCCCAGCGACCCGTCGGGAAGGCGGCACCGCAGCTCTGTCCCGCAGCGCCAACAAAAGCCCGGGCTCACATCCAAAACCGACTGAAGCCTCCACAGCAGCTGCGGGAAATCTTTAAGTTTAGTGCAGCCCCGTCTCAGTGTAAGCTCTGCCATACGCAGTCGAACTCGGAAGCACCAAGACGCTGAACGGACTTCCCTGCTAGCCCTTAATACCGGACCTCCGAAATAGAAATTACACCGTGTAACGCGCAAAAGGGCACTTCCACAAGATGAGCATGCTAAAATCAAAATATGATGGTGACTGGGAAATTCAAAGGTCTTTCAGTGCAACTTTTTCCAGCAGTTTTCTAATTAACTCAAGTTTTCTCAAGTACTGTAGCAACTTAGACAAGGGCAAAAATTTCTGAATTATTATATAATTTTCACTCTCGGAAATATTTTACTGCAGTTTATCCAAAGTCACTTCAGATACAGAACAAAGGATTATTTTCCATGAACTTTTATTTGTTGTGTTTTAGAGTAAAGAATATATCTTTGGCTGGGCAGCTAAATCCATGTGAAAAAATACAATTAGCTGGGGTTTTTTTCTTCCATGCAGGAGACATACCAAATTAGCAACTCCCTGTGACATGTGACAAAATACATCATAGAATAACTCAACCAGAAAGAACCTCTAAAGTCCGATCTGCTGCTTAGAATGGCTAAACTGCAAGTGCAATCACGTAGCTCAGGGCTTTAGCCAGCTGAGTTTTTGGAAAATTTCCAAGGATTTCGATCTCCCAGTCTCTCTGGACAATCTTTTCCAGAGCTCAGCCATCCCCACTGTGAAGAACTGGTGCTTTACGTCCTGCAGGCACTGGTTCCTGGCTCTCACTGCATGCTCCAGAGAAGAAGCTGGCTCTAGGCAAATGCCTCCTATCAGCTCTAAATTCAGCTGTGCCCTGGCTTTCCTAATTTCACACCAGGATATTAACCCAGGTGATATTTCTACACCCTTTCCCGGGCAGTTCATCCTTACCTCTACCTTCCGTGCACTTCCTCGTTGGTTATGAGCTCAGGAGTTCCCCGCTAAGCCAAGCTGACCTCCTATTACAGCTGCTCATTTTCTCGCTCACCAAGGTACATATTATGGTGCATGAAGGTTCTCTCTCAAAGTCAACACTTGTCCTGGCTTCCTTTGCCTTCAGGGCATTCTCTAGTAAGGTCCCACACGGACGTTTCCCAAAGAGGACAGTCTACTGTCTCAAAAATCTATTATTTTTATTCTACTATTTTTCTTACTCACTTTTCTCAGATCTAAAACTACTCTGGCACTGCAGTCAGGGTCACCACTGACCACCACACCTATAGCCAGCTCCTCCTCATTCATGGGTTTAAAAAGAAAAAAAATCTGCTACTGTCCAGAAAACATGAAAAAAAAAAAATCTCAAGTTTCAGAAAGATGACCAATAACATGCATTATTTCCTGTCCTCAACTATCCACATTTACTTTGTGGATAAATTTAACCTTAGGGGGAAAACAAAAAAAAAAAACAAAAAAAAAAAACCCAACCACAACACATCACCACACCCTTACAAGTTAGGGAAACAGAAATTAATAAATATGCTATCTGTATTATTAGATAGTTTGCAAAAAGTGTACATTATTTAGATAAAAATTCTCCAAAGCCCAATTACTATGCCTTGACAAAAACAGAAAAAGGACAAAACAGTTACCTTGTAAATTATAAATTATAAATTGTTCACACAGTGAAAGTACTATGTCCTTTCTCCAGACAAATCTATTACAGAATGTTGCATTTCCACTAGTTATTTCCCTTAGACACACAGAAGGGCCCAAATTAATTTTGTTTACAAATATATCACCAATAGTTGAACTTAATTAACTGCCTAATTACAACTGCTTATAGCTAGAAAGTTTCTTAAAACAGTATGTTTTGAGAATAAATTTTTATGTATAACCGTAAAGAGAGCTTTATGAGGAAGAAGTGTAAATAGTTTGTTTTCAAGTTAGCTTCTAGTAGCTCTTATTCTACACTAACATTTAAAGCAGTGAATTTGGTTTAATTGCATTAAGTCTGTGTAATTATTTAAAAAAAAACAGAAAAGTTAAGAGACTTTTGTGATATATCACACTGCAGCAAAATCAACTAGTCAATAACACAATTCAATTAGTATCTTAAGTGAAAAATGCAGTTATTAGTTTGAAAATAACATATCTATGCACATATAATGAAGACATTCATTTTAATTACATTATGCTGAGTACTAACCATGAATTAGTGAGCCATTTAGCCACTGAATATAGTAGTTTTGTGGAAAAGAAAGCAGGATCTCATTGCTGATTATTGAGAAAGGTAGAAGCAGGACTGCACCAGCTGAAACTGCTAGAGTGAAGGTGCTCAAGAACAGCCTGAAATTTAAAGAAATGTACCACTGTTACCACCAACATGCTCTGAACAGGGGAAAAAAAAAAAGTAGTTAGCCTGCCTATTAGTTGGTGTCTAAAGAAAACACATATTTATATTGTAAAGGGGCAGGAAAAACTGATTAACACAATATTTCATTTCCAAGAAACTAATTTCAAATACCAAGTAGTTTATAAACTCCAGTAAAAACAATTAGTTTTTACCAACTAGCAGAATTACTCTCTTGGGACTTGCATGCATTCAACTGCAATGTCACACACACAGGTTAAATTATTGGAGTTCACAGAATATCTTATCGTAAGTCCCCCATTTTAATTTTCATTTCCCGCATACACAGTCAGAATGAGAAAAATTTCTATATTCTTACTACAATTTTTAAAAGCAGAAAAGCTTTTTATGTCTAAAAAGTGAGTACAGTTATACACGAACAAATACTTCAACATTGAACTGGGGGAAAAAAAACATTGCTTTTCTTTTACAGAGTAGTTATTCCAGTATCATCTCACAGCCTGGTGTTTTCTGACAGCTGTAAAGTCAATACAGAGAAATTGTCAGAATTATTAAAATATTTAAGCTTCTTTGTCTTAGACCCCAAACACACCTTGTATCAAATGCCATCTTGTGGCATTAAAAAGAAGTGTTCTTTGGGAAAAAAAAATAAAAAAAATCATTCTCATAGAACTAATTCAATGCTAGAATAAAATCAGAAATAATCCTCAAAACCAAATGACAATAAACTTAACTGGATGACTCCTCTAAGACAGATGTAAATTGCTTACAGAGATCTTATTTTTCCTTAATTGTCTACAAATCCATTTTTCATTCACACAATACTTAAAGTCTGTGTGACTAATTTTATTTTCAAACATATTCTTATATGCTTTCGTTGCTGGTTTCTGAGGCTTTTTTTTTTTTTCCTTTTCCTTAGGGATGTTTAAGCATTCTAAGCCAAAACTGAAACCCAACAACACACTACTACAGCAGTTGGGCTTTGGTTTTCTACCCCCACACATCCCCTAGGTTCTGACAATTACGCTGTGCAAAGAAACACCCATCTGCATATGTCTGACAGCTACTGCTTTTTTGAAAATAACATACACTCTTAAGGAGCAAGAAAGCTTAGGCTGAAAAAACAAGAAGCATTTTACATTTGTAACACCAATTTTAATGAAAGCTTGTTACTCTAGGGGAAGTGTTAATCTTGTCTTATGCTGTTTTTCGCATGAAGAACACAGTATTTACAATTTGTATTTGCTTTATTTTAAAATTGAACTAGAATAGATGCAGGGGAGGTAATAGTTAAAGATCGTTTTTACTCTGAATATTTAGAAATCCAAAATCAGGCTAAAACCACAGCTATGAAAAATCATTCAATCTAGAAGACCATTCACTGTTACAAGGGCCTCCATTGTAGCTTTAAAAACCACAGGAGAGATGCTCCTCTGCTTGAGGGGAAGAGCTTCATACCATTTAAAAGTAGGTATTTTGCTTCAGATCTGAAGTAGGCCACGTGGCAAGTAAATATTTCCAATTCATAAAAAATATTGGTATCAGACACTCCTGGGAGAAGCACGCCTAAGATTTACATCACCTTGGTGCATCGTTCAAGCTCGCCACAGAAGCACAACTGAAAATGAACAGCTTGCAATGGACTCGGCACCTTCCCAGGGTACAAGACAAAGTAATAGAACTCTCCAGCAGCTCTCCTTCCAAAAGGATGACAGTACCACCACAGAAGAGCTAAGAACACTGTAATAAGCAAGTAGCAACTCCACATAATACAGCAAATCATGAAACTGAGAGGGCAGCACCAGCCCACAGGTGTTCTGTAAATCTTCAGGCATATTTAAACTGGAGAGATTAACATCCAGCTTTACAAAGGAACAGGAAGAGGAAAGAGTTGCCAGCAGACCAGCAGGTCTGGCAAATGCTTGTCATCCTTTTGATTTTTTTTTTTTTTTTTAAGATGTTTTTAATAGGATCAAGTACAGATGTTCACTTCAGCGTGAACTTTCTCTCCAGGATCCATCACCTCCCTTGACAGGACTTCCATCCACTGAGAAGGGAACTTCAACTCCTACCTCCCACAGAAACATCTACAATTTACAGACCTAAACTGAGGTGCAGATCTTCACGTGCACTCAATTCCACCTCTCACACCAGGTCCTCACATGAAATTCTGTCTACCAGGAAACCCACAGGTGAAAAAAGCCCTAGACCAAACTGCTTTGCCTCTGTCATGCCTTTTGTAATACAAGGTGCAGCTCGATCCACTTTTTTCCTCTGCTCTCTAGTAATCGATCTGCCATCATGCGTAAAATGGACTGTTATTAATTGGGAAGCACAGAATGTGCCTATCGCAACAATACATTCAGGAAGAAAAGGTCTGCAAGAAAGAGCTATACATACGATATTCTGTTAACGATGGCATCCTCATCCTCTTGCTCATCTGAAAATTAAATTACAGCAGGTTATACTCAACACTTACTCATCCTTCCTCAGACTAAAATGTATATACATAGGAATAATTTTAAATTACAACTAAAATTTAGAATCACTAAAACAATTTATTAGCATAAATATTAAATATTTAAACATGGCAACCAAAAATTTATATTTTTTTTTTGCTTTTCCTAATCTTAAACTCTTTTCCATCAATATAGCTATGATGTTCTTTCACTCTATTTAAATATGCAGATGAAAACTTCTTGGATATATCTCCAGAGGGCCCCAGGATCTCCAGAGAGCAAACAAGCTTTCAGACTACTACCATGGCTGCTGCCAGGAATCACCCCCTTGAGCATCTCTGAAACCCCAGAGAGCTAGGTAAGCTACCGGAAAGTTTTAGGGTCCATATCAACTACTGCTATAAATCCCTAAATACATGTTTTATTTGCAGTAATAGCATATTTTTAAAACATAAAAGCATACCCAGAACAGTAGTGACAACCACTCAGTTGCTTCCCCATACTCATCCCTCCTCCCCAGTCCTGGGGATTCAGGGAAGAGCAGGAAGGAAAGTTCTTGTTGCTTGTTTCAGATTTAAGATATCATGGCTTCTCTTCTAGCATTTCACATTTTAGACCATTCTTGTTCACTTATTCCTCGATCAATATACCAACTTTTTGAAACATTATCAACATTTAACTCGGAGGTCAACTACTAATATATCCTTCATTTTTTCTTTATGTCCTTCCCTATACACAATCATACACAAATATATGCATTTCTGCATTTCAAATAATTTTAGTCAGCTTTCTTCTTTTAAGTTGTTCATGAGATGTAACTGAAATTTATTCTAAACCTAAAAATAAATTAAGCCAAGTGTTTCAAGTTCTTAATAGTCATGCACACATTTGAAATAATCATGAGGCTATTATTGAAATTCTGTGCAAGTACCTTAGGTTATTGTTTCTCATTTTGTGATGGGAACCTCGTGGTGTTTTGAGAGACTACGTTAAGGTCTCCTATGAATCATTCTGGCTAAAGAACTTGTTGCAGAAACAACAAACAATTTGTCCTGAAAGAATTCCAGATGTGCTAACTCTTCAGACATGTCTCATCACGAAGATCCTAGCAGGCTACAGATTTGCCTAAGTAAGTGCTCATAAAGCTTTCATGAAGTCAGGAGAGCTGCAGAGCAGTTCCTCTCACTGGCTGATGAGATCAACAGCCAAAAAGGTAAAAAAAGTGTCTTTACACCCAATAGCGTTTGCCAAATCAGTTCCCCCTTCCCGTTCTCCCCTATCTCCAAATGGCAGCGCTTTGCAGCATCCAAAACACATACTGGGATCAGAGGATAGTATCAGTCTTACTTGTTTAAGTTATTTCCTATGTTTAAAGAGGTGTATATATTTTTTGAAAAAGGTATTCAATTTCTTGAAGAGTTTACTTTTTAAATATGAATCCATCTGTAAAAGCAGCTGTGTCATAACATGGGTCACTACAGCTCAGTAAGCAGTTTCCATTGAAGTTCAAAGTGTCAAGATCACTGCGTAAGAAGGCTTCTCCAGCACGACTGAGTATTACTGAGCATCAGGGAACCAGGTAAACTGCCGAGAGGCAAAGATTCTGCCAGTTTATACACGTTTTTATGCTATTTGTCTTTAGAAGAAATACAGAAGAAAATGACTGAGGTTCCTATAGACTTTTCACACAGACAACATTTCTAGGGGGAAAAAAAAAATACAGGGTTATCTCAAAGAGTAAGTCTTCAGTGGTGAGGTCATAAGGAACTAGTTAAGAAAACCAAAATATCTGTACTCGAGCAAAGCAGCATTTTTAGAAGAAATCTACTACTTCCCTTCTGTAGTACTGGCAACCTTTTCACTTGACCAGCTAAAGCTCTGAACTTCATTGTGGTGCTAGAACACAGCCTGAAGACACTTATTCCAGAAAAGTTGACATGAAAGGAGAACAAGACCTAAAGGCAAGGGAGGTAGAAGCATCTACTCAAAAGTCTCCTCGTTTTTCCCCTCTCAAAACAGTTCAGATTCAGGCTGCCACAGTCACAACAGGTCAACTGCTCCCAGCCATCCACCCCACCTCCGGCACAGCCACTCTTGATGGCAGAGTGCCACCAGCACCCACCAACCCTTTCTGGAGGTGCTCCAGTGCGCTCCCTTCCTCGCTTACTGGGATTCCAGGGCACAGTGAAGGCACTGAGGAGCACCAGAGCGGGCACAAGGGATGTGATGGAATCTCATGGCTTGGGGACAAAGGGAGTAGACAGAGGGTGAGAGCAGCATATACAACCCGATCAGTGCAGGCTGCTGTAGGACGAGCAGCCTGAGAAACACTTCTGGTCAGAGATCTGGTTCTTCTGCTTTCCTTATGGAGGCAGAGAGAAAAAGAATCATCTGTTCACTTGAAAAATTACTTTTGAATATGTTAAAATCTCTGTGCTTACCTGCTTTTCTTTTGTATCTTGTGATTATGAAGTAGGAAACTATGTAGAGAACAGCAAAAAGAAGAAAACAGATCTGGAAGGGGAAAAAAATACACATTGCATTTAGGTTGTGAATAAATCTCCGGATTATAGTAAGAATAAACAGAAAATTCACTATCAACAACTTAGAATATGCTTCTGTTGATCTGAATTCAATGTAAATATCAACACTGCTATGTTTTATGTTTAACAGAAAGTTAAACCAATAAGAACAGTTTAATTAAAGTAACAGTTATTGGATCAATTATACAGTCAGATAGTTTTACTGTAAAATTAGGGGGGGAAAAAAGTCATATTCATAGTGCAATTTTTTGTTTGAAGGAGGAGTGAGTGGAGGCGGTTGTGCTGTTTTTTGAAGTTTGAACTCATTCAAGCTTGTAAACGTTACCATGCTTTGTATCCCTTTCTCACATAATCTAAGTGTAATCATATTTTATACAATGGGCTCCTGAAGACCTATTCTGGAGTAAGCTATGGGGAAAGAAGAAAGTTACATCTACTACTTTCATCATGTCTTGAATCAAACTAATGCCATTTGACAATCCACACAAGAGAGACTCATCTGCCCACAGTGGATGTCCAATCGTGATTTAGTCAAACACGACGTTTCCTGGCTCTAAGTCAGGTTTCTGAATGTCAGTCAGAAGCAAAGGGCACAACCTCCCTCCTCACAAGGCAGGCAGCTTATTCAGGTCAGATGCACCTTGAGCCCACTGTGACTTGCATCATGCTGTTTCTAAGATTTAGCACTAGAATTTCAATACAATAAGATTATGGCCAAAACAATCTACAAATACGTCAGAAATCTTGGAAGAATGGAACCAAACAGCAGGACAGCTTTAGCCCTCCAAGCCTTTACGGGAAACCAAAAAACAAAAACACTTTAAAGATTTGCTCCTGAACGAGACGTCAGTGACTCAACACTGCTTCCTTAACCTTGTTTGTTGACACCTGCTAAAAACTTGAGTCAGTCAGAAATGAAACACGACCGAAGGATGCCGTTCCACGGTGCCATGGCCCTTCGCCTTCTCTAGGGCCTGAGCAGTCAGAACGAACCACGCTACAGACCAACAGCATAATTCTGTGCCCTGTGAGCTTGCCGGGAACAGACTCCCTGCACACCGCAGGCTGAGAAGCTATTTGAAACAGCCCAGCCTGGTAAGATTCTTTCACTTGTGCACAATACCAGTAGCCACCTACTGAGTCTTAACACACAGAAGTTACCCAACTGAAGGGGATGCATCAAGAGGAGCATGGCCAGCAGATCAAAAGAGGTGATCCTCCCACTTTGCTCCTGCGAGACATCATCTCAAATACTGCATCCAGTTCTGGTGGCCCCACTGCAAGAGGAACATGAATCTGTTTGAACGAGTTCAGAGGAGGTCACAAAGATGATCCAGGGACTAGAGCACCTCTGCTAGGAGGACAGGCTGAGGGAGCTGGGACTGTTCAGCTGGAAAAGAGAAGACTCCAGGGGGACCTTATAACTACCTTCCTGTACCTGAAGGGAACCTACAGGAAGGCTGGGGAGGGACTTTTTACAAGAGTGTCCACCAATAGGACAAGATGAAATGGGTTTAAGTTAAAGGAGAATAGATTTAGATTGGACCTTAGGAAAAAAATTCTTCAGTACAAGGGTGGCAAGACTCTGGAATAAATTGTCCAGGGAAGCTGTAGATGCCCCCTTCCTTGAGGTGTTCAAGGCCAGGCTGGATGAAGCCTCGAGCAACCCGGGCTAGTTGAGAGGCATCCCTGCCCGTGACAGAAAGGTTGGATTAGATGATCTCTAAGGTCCCTTCCAGCCTAGGCCATTCCATGTTTCTATGAATCAGGCAAAACTGCTGCAGCAGTTTTTACTATTAAAGTGAGTTTGCCCTGTTACCTGACAAGGTTGGAGGTTTTTTAATTGGCCTTGCCCAGATCTGCAATTTATAACAGTAGCACCCTAAATGCATTCTACTTCAGTCTGAGCTTTTATCTCCTTTGTCATTCAAAGTTACAAAATTACTTTACCAGGCATAATCTATCATTTAGAGATTTGTTGCCTTTAAGATCTCACTGTCTTAAAAAGAATAGAAAAAGTAAAAATCAAGAGCAGAAAAGTTACATGAAGTGAAAAGAAAACATGAAAGTAAAGGTAGTGATGATAGTCCTTAAAAATTGACAACTAAATCAGTATACTACATCCAAACCAGCAGAATCAGAGAAGGAAAGAATGTATCAATCAGGAAAGACAGACTTTTTTAAGAAATACTAACAAAAATAAACTGGAAGAGTTATTTCCTTTGAGTACTCAGACATGTTAGATAAATGCAAAGTGTAGCCAATGTCTGAGCATGGCATTTGGGTACCTGCAACTGCCCCACACATTTCTCCCACAAGTATCACAGAGCCACAGGCCTGAAAGTGCCAACTGAGCAACTGGCAACGCAGCAGTGATACCTGAAATACAGATGCTGAAAATTAAATTTCATAACGAGGTCTCAGAATTCAAATATTTCAACTGAATAGTTCATCATTCCAACTTTCCAGAGGATGCTTCAAAGAGGAAAAGGCTTTGATAAATAATTTAATTCTTTAAACAAATAATTCAATTAATAAATGATTTTATTACAATTTTTAAAAGTATATGTTGGTATAGTTTTGAATCAGGAAGAATAAAAGAAACAGACTAGCCTGACACAGCTTGTCCTGTGAGTATCAGAAAAAGTGATGCCAGTGCCAAAAGAAAGTCCTTCTCTAAGTTTTCAGCAAAACTGAAAACTGGACGAAGGCTACAGATAGGCATCTAATTCTAGTCATCCACTTTTGAAAATCAGGTATTACATATAGAGAGTCAGTAAAATCCTCCCAAAAAATTTGTCAGACCCAAATAACACTTACCCTGTGTAAGATAAAATTAAACCAAAATTGAGCTTAACTATATTTTTTTTTATTCTTGTCTTAAATATTGCAATCTTGTTTATAACTTCAAATAAAACAGATGAACTTTATCCTATCTGTGATAGCGAGGTTACAGCAAAAAAATGTGGGTCTGTACTTAGAAGGTACCACTGAGATAACTGAAGTATTTTGGGGGCATGGCAGATGAAAGCTGTCCAGTAACACGAACTGCCAAACGCTGTATTCCGAGTTTTAGATGACAACTACTTTGCAACTCAGCAATAAGATGTAACTATATATCTTGGTGTAATTATGCCTCTACTTCTGTCTGAACTGAGAACAACTACATGAAATATTTACAAAGTTGTTTATTACCGAAAGTTCACATAATTTTAAAGTTATCAAGCAAGAAGAAAAGGTCAATTCTAATCAGTGAAAGCTTTAAGATTTTTAATTTATGAATTCTCTTTCATAAAAGTCCTTCGCACTAACCAAACAAGTCAACAAGCCAACTCAAAAATATTACATCATTCTCAATTTATACTTGCTGAAATCTATGATCCTGCAGTGTTTACAACCATGTATTCTGAACAGCTTTCTAAGGGGAGTAGGAAAAGCCAGCATCCTAACTATTTTTAGAGTGGAACTCAGTTAAGCTGGTGAAAAGGAATGTGTTGCTCATGATCACTGAAGAATAGACTCCACTGTCCTGTCACTGCAGTCCTGGGTTCTTATTCCTCATAGCACTCTTTGTTTCAGGGTATCTTTGTACTTAATAAAAAGAAGAAACAAAATACAGCCCTTGTTTGTACATGTTCTAGCCTCAATTCATGTTTCTTAATTATGAATGACTGGACTTGTCCACAGTCCTCCAGGTAAGGTCTTATGGCTTATACCCTTATGGCATTATCCCCTGTTCACTGAACCCACCCATGCTGGCCTCCCCAACTGCTTTGAGCGGCTCTGAAGTTACAGGATAAATTCCTTTGGTTTTGAGGTTCACCACTATGTCTTCTCCCCCTCCTTTTAAAAATCACACCTTAATTTCATACTACACCTCTTATTTTGCGGTGATCAAGTCCTTTCTGTACCACGTTCTAACTTCATTTTATATCGACTACATCTGCTAAAGAATCGGGTTCGTGCTAACGAAAACAAAGTGATACATTCTAAGTTGAGCGAGACTGCTCTTAATACTGATGTCTGAGGAAAATAAATAGTAGTGCTTTTTTTCCCCAAACACGACACCTGCTGTCATGTACGCTACAGCCAGTTTCTTAGTCACTTTACAGCTCTCCTACTAAGGCACACTGACCCCAGTTTAAGAAATACTTCTCAATCCATTTCCTGGATGCAGCCTTTGGTATACGCAGAAGAAACTCCACCGACAGTCACGCAGCTTCAGAAAATACAGTTCTTAACAACTACTATTTTGACTTTCTTAAAAAAAAAAATTCACATCTACACACGTTCATAATACCCTAATTATCCATCCACTTTCATTTCTAATCACTTATTAAAAAGGATAGGGGCTCATACTGAAACAGGGCACTAATCAGTAAGTGACACTGGTATCTTCAGTGAAAGAGCACCCTGTATTCTTTAAATCCCATCTTTTCTTCAGAAAACTATTACATGTGACAGTATTGAAGCCAATACTGGAATACAATGTTAAATCCAAATCATACTGTAAGCTATGCTTTCAGCTAAAAAGCAGTGGTTTATAATGACAAAAGTTAAGGATGCTGCAACTGTAGCAAATCTAGGACAAGCTCTATTTCTCACGGGCCCACGTTCTCCACAAGGAGTTTTTCACTGATGCTCAAGTGAAGCTCTTACAGGTGTGACTTGAGGAGACTGAAGACACTGTGCAGAGAATGTACACATCATGAATAAGGATTTCTGACATACCCTGATGGTGTCAACTTAAAAAAAACACCAAAATAAACAAAAACACATCCCACAACAACAAAAAACACACAACAAATAAAAACTTCCAATCTTAACATTTATTTCTGTAAATCGATTCCAACTTTACAGAGCAGAAAAGTAGCTGGGGATCTGCTGGCATGGTTAAGACCATGGGAAGCTACTTTAAACCAAACAGTATAAGGGAAATGCACTCAGTGCCTCAGTGCGTGTTTCACC